TTATAAGAAGATTGTCTGGAATGTAAGAGCAAAGGAAAGTGATCTCAATAGATAGTGCCTTGGCGCTATAAAAGTAATATTAGGTGATATTAATTGGGTGCTACCAGGGATCATGCACTAGGTATATTAGAATGTCTGGCATAGAGAAACAGCGCAATAGATATTTGTTCAATAAATGAATTTGGAAATCCTCACAGCAACTCCATGAAGTAAATATTTTCATTATTTCCACTGGAGGAAATTGAGTCTCAGGAAGACAACATCTTTTTCATAATATACATCATTGATCTACACTTGAACTCAGGTCATGTTGACTTCTTCGTTCATGTTTACCACAATTTTATTATGCTGCTTGAAAAAATATATATCCTTCTCTACTTGCAAATTGACTAGAATACACTCGGTTTTAAGTTCCCATATATCCCTACTTACTGTAGACCTTATTACGACATCAGCATGTTATGATACCTTAAATTGTTTTATAGTTTATTTTAGCTTTAATTTACTATTCTCGATGAGGTTTTGGACTCACTGCTACTATCAGCAGCCTATCTGAAAACTACTTCTTGGGGTGGGTTATTTGAGCAGATAGCTCATCTCCTCTGTATATGTGTGTGTGTGTGCTGCTTTGAAAAGAAAATTCTAGAATGGCATCTTACTTGTATGCCTGAAATGCTTTTCTCTGTTGGCTTAGATTATATGGCTTTTACAGTCTCTGAGTTGGGCTAGGACAATGCCCAATTGAAACATGGCAAAGCAAGTGAGGTTTGCATCTGGAGGTTTAAATCCTTCCCATACCTTCAATATCTTGCTCTCTTGACCTTTCTTGTTTCCACTTCTTTCTCTTCTTTTTTTTTTTAAGATTTTATTTATGTATTTGAGAGAGAGAGAGAGAGTATGTGTGTGTGTGTGAGTGAGGGGAGGGGCAGAAGGGGAGGGAGGATATCCCAAGCAGACTCCCCGCTGAGTGTGGAGCCTGACACGGGGCTCAGTCTCACGACCCTCAGATCATGACCTGAGCCAAAACTGAGAATCGGATGCTCAACCAACTGAGCGACCCAGGCGCCCCTCTTCTTTCTCATCCTAATGTCTGTCCAGCTACTTCTACTTCCTTTCACACCTTCAGGGAAAACTTAATTCAACTGGCATTTTTCTCTCACAAGACATGTGCATAGAGCCTAGGAGCTCAGATATTCAATATTATTAACCTGAATAATACTTCACAAAATCCTCAGCAGTTTCCCTCATTCTTTCCCTCAGCTAATTCTAGAAACATTTAATTTGGGAACATAACAGAGCTATTTATGTCATCTTTGTGCAGCAAAAAGAGAATAGTTGGACTAGGGTATGTGGATTCCAACTCTGATGGTGTCAATTTATTAAGGGACTCAATCTCTGTGAACTTTAATAACCTCACTGGGAGAATGTTGGGACTAAAGTGGGTAGTTGCTTAGCTCTTTTAATTTTAAAATACCATGATGTTTAAAAATAGGAGTCTTATTATTTCTGGTAAGTTTTAGATGACAACACACTTCTCTGTTCATTTTTATTGGTCTTCATGCGAATTATGCGCAGAACATAGAAACCTACTTGCAACCCCAAAATAAATCAGGAAGAATTTTGGAGGAGAATGTGAGCAATGATATGAAGGTGCAAATTAAGAGGGATACTTGAGACACAAGGAAGAGAGGATTTGGCTAGAAGGGAGGCTACTGGTTAAAGTAGATGGGGAAGAGATAGCTATAGATAAGTAACTCTAGATTTATGAGGACATGGGATGGCAGGTTGAGGAATTTGAATTTAAGAAGTTGAAGAATGGAGAGGATCTTAGGAATCAATTTGAAATATTAAGCACAGAGACTAAAGAAAGGAAGATCATTTAAGATGCTACTGCAACCCTTCAAGCATTATGTGTTCACAGATAGGGTGGAGATGAGGATGAAGAGCTAATATTTTTTAAAAATTGACAGAAAAATGGATATAAAAGTCTGATGTATTTTTATTGTAAAGATTTTATTTACTTATTTATTTATTTGTTTATTTATTTATTTAGAGAGTGTGAATGGGGGAAGGGGCAGAGGGAAAAGGAGAGAATCTCAAGGAGACTGCAAGGAGCGTGGAGCCCGATGTGGGGCTCGATCTCAAAATCCTGAGATCATGACCGGAGCTGAAACCAAGAGTTGGGCACTGAACCGACTGAGCCACCTAGACACTCCGTGGTGTAGTTTATCTTAAAAAAATTACCTAGCTCTCTTCATTGAAAAAGCCTAAAAACAATGACTAACCCAATAACAATGATCACCCTCCCTAGTAGAATAAGGCTTCTTAAAAGGAGCCAGGGCTTCTTGGAGAAATAACTGATTCCAGAGCAGGGGAGGCAAATACACAAGATGACAGGTCTAAAGGACACAGGAATCATTCCTAGAGGCTCTCACAAGCAGTAGAAGGGAATAATTTTAATATCTCTAAGAATAAAAATTGCATTGCATTGAAACACATCAAATATGCAAAGGAACATTAATGGATTATGATACTAAAAGAAGGAAAACTCATTTTGGAAATTGAAAGAGGGAAAGAATCATATATTTTGGGTAACCAAATAATATATGAAGAAAATTTTCTCCTACAGAAGTATCCCGGCTAATAAATGAAGAAAAAATGATTCAGCTAGAATATCATCGTTCCCTAACCCCTAGTGAACAGCTGAATCTGGGTGCTGCAAAGACATTGCTGACATCCTGAATGATGAGCAGTTCTGCATTCTGATCCTCATTCTAGAAAAACACAATACCGTCTATGAAGTAGCTTTTCCAAAAATGATCTCGATGTGATCAAGGTTATAATTCACAAAAATGGTTCTTGGCAGGGACGATGGACAGTTTTCCCCTTAAGGTGATATTTGGCAATGTCTGGAGACATTTTTAGTTATCATTAATTTGGGTAGAGGCCACCTACCTAGATGCTGCTAAATCCTAGAATGCCCGGGATTATCTGGGCAAAATTATCTTGCAAATAAAATGTCCACAGTGGGGCGCCTGGGTGGCTCAGTTGGTTAAACGACTGCCTTCGGCTCAGGTCATGATCCTGGAGTCCCGGGATCGAGTCCCACATCGGGCTCCCTGCTCAGCGGGGAGTCTGCTTCTCCCTCTGACCCTCTTCCCTCTCGTGCTCTCTATCTCTCATTCTCTCTCTCTCAAATAAATAAATAAAATCTTAAAAAAAAAAAAATGTCCACAGTGTTGGGGGTTAGAAATCCTGACTTATGGGAGATGTGAAGTGGAGAGGAACATGTTAAATAATACAACTGGAATACGATCAGCAAAATCTCAATGGTATGAAACTACAAGCCAAAGATACAGTTTCATTAACAATAACCAAAAAAAATTCAAGAAATAAAAAGAGAGGGGGCAGATGACCTATAGACCTAAAGAGATAAGAGGCAGATCAACCAATAAAAAGTGAAGAGCTTATTTGGGTTCTGATTCAAACAAACCGTAAAAAAATTTGACATTTATGAGACAATTGGAAATCTGAACACTGACTGGATGTTTAATGATATTAGGAAAATTTTGGATGTGATGATGGTTTCGTTATGTTAAAAAGAGAGACCTGATCTTCTAGAAATACATCCTGAAATACTCATGGGTGAAATATGTAATGTCTTAAATTTCCTTCAAGTTAATATGGGGAGCAAGGTAGTAGCTAGAGAAATAAATCCTTGAAGATCAGCTGAGAGGTGGACAGTTCAGATTTAGGAATGAGGGGTATGAGCAGAGCTTCTGTAGGAACAAATGTATTTACTTGTGTTCAACAACCAAAACCAAAGCTGCCCCTGTTTGCTAAATGCAGTCTAAAAGAAAGGTAGTTAGCTCCAAAGGCCCAGGAGACTATACAAATATAAGGATTGTTATTTTCTTGAGAAGGATGAGTTGATGAAGCATCTGACTCCTTAACCAGCTCTGCCACCAGGAATATTGGTCACTAGTCCCTGAGATTCTCATGACAGTTTGTTAAAGCCCACCAACAAAGTTCATTGAAATAAAGACTTTTAAATGATCTTCTTTTAACAATCTCTTGTTGCCACTTTCAAAATAAAGGGGGTGAAACAAACAAGAAGGCTTCGGGCTTTTCTAGCAAAAGGTTGAAGGACGTGGCAGTGTAATAAAAATCATTAACAGATTTTTGTGACTACTCACTATGTTCTATATACAATGTGGGTACAAGATACTCTTGATCTCATTTGTATTTCATACATTAAACCCTACCCATAGCATGATATGTGTGACCCGAAAAGCTTTTATAAAATATGAGGTCACGATATTACAGGGTTGATAGAATTTCTCAGGTGAGGCTGTGCTTACTGGAGATTCTGGAAGTTTGGAGGAGCCATTTTGGGGGTGGGTGCACCAACTGGTGGTGGTTGTATCTTCTGACTTAAATTATCAGTGGGGGTGTTTCTCGATCCTGTGGTTGCCAGAATGGTGACGGTAATGTAAAAAATCTTACGGTTGGTTGTCGCATGTTCTGTGGCCGAAGTCCAGAGATAGGGGGTAGAACAGCAGGAAGGAGGGAGAACACACCTTGTAGCCCAACTTCCAGAACCACAGCTCCCTATTGCCAGTTGCTCTCTTCCCTCTAGGAAGTGAAAGTGAGCTGACCTTCATTCAGCTGATAGCTTAATTTGCCTTTTCATGGGGTTAAATAGGCAAAACAGCAAGGAATATCACCAGCGTACAGAGGGACAGAGTGAGCTTCAGCAACAACAGACCATAGAAAGCAAGGTACTCAATCTCAAGCATTCACCAGAGAGGTCAGTATTCTATCCCATGACTATCTTTTGGTAACACTCATGACTCATGTCTCACAATCTATGTTGAGTTTAGAAGATCATTGGGATGGGAGGACTGGGGGAGACATTTCACTTCCCCACAAATGTGTTCTTCCAAGTGTTTCAAGACCCATCTTAAGTGAAAAATAAAAAAATGTAAAACGTTTTTGACATTCAAAATGACAACTGGAAAGATCGTTGATGCTAATATATTTCTGAAGTCAAAATTACAGAAAGAATCCCTGTATCCCAAACACCATGTGAGAGAGAAGAACTTATTCTGGAACAATAAATGGATAATTCTTTAAATGGGGAACTACTTATTATTTTCTCCCATCATAGAAACGATTTCGTTGTAAATTACTTGAGGGGCATCCATGGCCCAGATAAAATCCAAGTGATTGTAAGGAGGAATCTTCTTGTGGTAAATGAGGTTGGGTAGTTTGGAAAGCAGAAGGTCAACGTCTTGAGGGTCAGCCAACAAGTCATTGCCTCCGTTCCACACTGCAGTTGGCACATGCATGTCTGTCAAGTTGTAGTAGGGAGGTGTGGGCTAAAACACAAGAGAGAAAGAACCCTAGTGTTTAAAGGTAACTACACTTTAAAGCCCAATACTTATTCCTTCGCTAGAGGATATTGCATTGGCTGATGACTTTTTCTACTGAGGTGTAATTAACACATAACATGGTATCAGTTTCAGGTGTACAGCATAATGATTTAATAGATGCATATATTGTGAAATAATCACCGCAATAAGTCTAGTTAATGTTCATCACCACACATAGTTACAAATTTTTTTCTTGTGATGAGAACTTTTAAGGTCCACTTTCTTGGTAACTCCAAATAGACAATACAGCATTGTTAATTACAGTCACCATGCTGTACATGACATCCTCGGGACTTATTTATTGTATACACTGGAAGTTTGTGCCTTTTGACCATCTTCATCCATTTCACCCACCCTGTGCCCCCCATACCTCTGGCAGCCAGCCATCTGTTCTCTGTATCTGTGAACTCAGCTGTTGTTTTTGTTTCCAGATTCCACGTATAAGTGAGATCATACAGTATATGTCTTTCTCTGTCTGACTTACTTCACTTAGCATAATGCCCTCAAGTTTGATCCATGTTGTTGCACATGGCATGATGGAATTTTAGAAGGAGATTCTTACCAGTGATTGCTCAGAGAAAGTCACCTGTATCCACACAGCAAAGTGGATGCCATATGTTTTAGGTCAGTACTTCTCAAACTTGAAAGGGCCTGTGAATCACTTGGGGATCTTGTTAAAATGAAGATTCAGTACATCTGGGGGAAGAGCTGGGATTCTGCATTCCCAGGTGAATGCTGATCCTCTTGGTTCTGGACCATGCCTTGAATAGCAAGGCTTTAGATAACAATTCTTTACAAATTAAAAACTTAGATTTCTACCCAAGCTCAAGAAAGTGGATTTGATTGGATTCTGACTGTAATAGACTGTTTCTACCCGGGCACTCTAAAGTATGATCTCAAAATATCTTGAGTCATTTATTTTGGCTTTGTATTGATTCACCAGTATGGTCAGTTGGTAGGTCAGTCAGTTCATTGAAGGGGTTGCATTTGTTGAATACTTACCTGATTTTACTAAATATTGGTTAAAATTCTGATAAAAGCTATCATCAGTCCCATTTGCTATTTCTAGAAGATCACCCTTTACACATAGATTTTAAAGAGGTTTACAAAGCAGGACAAGGGAATAAGTAAATCATCACCAATTTTACCACTATCCACAGAGAACTTTGTTAGCTTTTTAGATCATATTCTCAAGATCACTTATCCAATATACTACATTTTTCTATATTCTCACTTTATGTAATAGCCAACTTGTGTCATAGCAAAATATTTCACCATATATAATTTTCCATAGTATTTTAACACTTTATTATAGTGGAGAGAGGGGTGTGGAGAATATCCATAATAATAAGCCCACTTTCCTTTATTCATGCTCCATTGTTCAAAGAGTTTTCCAGATGCTAGCTCTGGCTCTTAAATTAGTGTCAGTGCTCAGTTAGTTGAAGACCATCTGTGCTGTTTTATGGCTTGGCTGGAGGGAGGGTTGGCTTGGGATTTGTTATTTTGGGTCCTTTAAGATGAAAGTCTCTGATGACAGAGCCCAGTAGAAAGGTAGATGCAAAGAATGACTGTGTTTTGGGGGTTTGAGGAGGCAATGGTTGGGGGGGAAGTGTTTTCAATAATGTTTGATCTGATGGTACCTCTTTAAAGACATCAAAAATGTCACAAAAGGGGGGTCGTCTTCTCTACACATAAGATATTGTGGTGAAGAGATAGAAATCCCTTGTAAACATCAAGTTGTGGAAGCAGATGAAAGTCAGTAGGGCTGCTCGGCCAGTATTTGGGTGGAAAATTTGGGATGGGATAAGAAGGAATGGAAGAAAATTATAAAAACTGCAGAGTAGCTCTCCATTCAAATGTAGCCAGTGATGGTCTGAGGGTGTACCCTGAGCTGAGGGCTTGCAGACATTGCCTCATTCCCTATCTGGGTGGAGAGACGAAGCAATTCCTGTCTCAACGCCTCGGGGGCCCCAGAGAGGATGGACTCCAAAGCAGCAGTAAGTGCAACGGGTGGCCAGTACGTCTGCCTCTCTAACAAGGCCCCTGTCTGCTGAGGAATATCTCCAGCCTTGACCTACAAGCACGCCATCCTAACATCTTACTTCTGGGAATATGGTGGAATCACTTCTCTGGCTGTTGACAAAGGAGGGGCTATTGTTGAAGAAGACCAGAGATTCCAGCTTTATCTCATGAACAGTTTGAATTATTGGCTTGTTGTATCAGTGAATTGCACTTCTGAAAGGAGAGGACTGTGTGCTGGGCGTCTGGGATACAGGGCAGGGCTGTGTAAGGGGGTGAGGAGTGATGTGTTCTAGGAGGTTCTTGCACGCGGTGGTGTGGTACCCTGAGCGCAGCTGATGGAGCAGAGTGTACAGAGGGAGAATGGAGACGGGGTGATGTCTGGCATGATGAAGGGATTCCAAGGAAATTATTGTCTACTTTCTAATTTCCTTAAGGATGAGTCTGGGCACCAACATTCCTTTGGAAAATATATGCATGATTATCATAATTTTACCTTTAACCTTTTATATCTTTGTCTTTCAAAATGTGAACAATTTCAACATGAAGAAGCTTACCTGATGATAGTGCAGCATGTTCTGAGCTGGGCTGCCCCAGTCAAAAGCTTGGAACTTCCCAGACTTAACAGCCTAATGTAGAGAAATGAAGAACACAAGGAAATAAAAACTCTCCTTGCTATGTGAAAAACAAAATTCAGACACTTCCAGTTAGTTTATTTTCAATTTAAACAATTTTTGAAACGTATTTCTCCTTCCAAAAACCAAGACCATCCAGGACCAGATATTTATACAAGTTTAAATGTGGCTTTGCTTGAAATACTTTTTTCTCACATGCCAAGTCATCAAAAATCATTCGTTTCTTTGCTCCCCAAAGTGACTGTTTTCATAGGATTTTATGTTATTTTTTTTAGAGAGAGAGAGTGCACGCACACGAGAGGGGTGGGTAGAGGCAGAGGGAGCGGAAGAGAGAGAGAATCTTAAGCAGGTTCCACGTCCAGCACAGAGCCTGATGCAGGGCTTGAGCTCATGACCCCAAGATCATGACCTGAGCCAAAATCAAGAGTCAGAAGCTCAACTGACTCAGCCACCCAGGAGCCCCTCATAGGATTTTCATTCACATGGACTGATAGTTATTTTCAGTGCCCCTGGTAAAGTGCCAGGGGTTCCGGTACACAAAAGAAGTTTTAACAGCATTTGAGAAATGATACCTGGGACCAGTGGAGGACGTCCTGAACCGATGTTCCCGCTGGATTATGTGATAGATACACATCCAAGCGACTCTAGAAAGCAAAGGCATCCACAGATGTATATTTGGTTTCTTAAAAACAGCTAAGATTTAAGTTTTTCTGATCCAGGTCAAGTGCCTAAGGGCAGCATTTACCAAAGGAGATGAGCAACACAGTTGTATGCTGCTTTAGATCTTGCAAAGCATAATTGCATGAGCCAGTTTGTTTGATTTGTAGCCCCTCAATGAGGAGAACTCATCATCCCTTTTATCAAAATGGGAATCGGGGCTCAGAGAAGTTTAGAGAAATGTCCAATGTCATGCAGCTCATATCAGGGTGGAGCCAGAGACTTTAATCTAGATCTCTAAATTCTCAGCTTCCATTCTTCTCTACCCAGTGCCGGAGTGCTGTAGATGTAATGTCCACACACAAGCCTTTTGCTTTGCAGACCTATATATGTATATATAAGGAGACATATGTATGTACACATCATATATGTGATAGTCAGTATACACGTATAGGATATTTACAATTGTTGTGCTATCCTGCTATCCTGTCAGTGTCCTAATCCACCATGATCAGACCGCAGACAACAAACTGAAATCCGTGTCTCAGCTTGCATAGACTAGTTCATAGTGGGTCTTAGTGCCACTCTATGGAGGACCATGGCTAACGGCAAACAAATTGACCATTATCATAGAAGAATGAAATCTTTCTTCACATAATGTTCATGCAGAAGGATGAAATCTCTAATTTCCTTTGCTCCTCGTCTCTATTTTACTATGGTTTTTCTCAGAAGGCTCTTATAAATGGAATGCAGTAATTTGTTCTGCCTTTTCTTAGTGTGACAAGGGTAGATGGCTCTGTCATACTCCACATACAAAATGGCAGCCATTCCCAAATCCATGGAGAGGGACTCGCATGCAAGACAGAAGGATGAGACTTTTATTTACCATCCAAAATAGAAACTAAGGAAAATTCCCTTTGTTCATATATATTTTAAAATATCCAAAGATTCTGATCAACATTGAGAAAGAGGACTGGTTATCCTTGATTTCCATGAGGGCAGGAACATATCTGTGTTTTCACCTTTGTGTTCCCAATAGCTACAACACTTAGTAGTGCCTCAATAAATATTGTTTAGCGAGTAGGTACCTGAAGGTAGAATTTTACCTTCTTGTCAATGAACTTGGTTTTCTTAGGTGTTCAAGGGTATATAACTTAACCGACAACTCTGAGGGAGGATAATTGTCAGTATATAATAGTATTAGTAGCAAAACCTATGCTATTCTTATGAGCCATATGCTTTGAACTATATTCTCCATGCTTTACACATATTAGTTCTTTTAATCTCCACAATAATACATTGTGGACAAGGAAACCAAGACAGATGAGTGTAACTCAGCTCCAAAGATAGGATTTGAATTTAGGCTCTTACCCTGAATCCATAGTCTTCACTACTTTTGATACTGTGCTTTGTCATATATGTTTTAAAACCCAAACCCAATTCAAAGCAAGTGAAATAGCCAGATAAAGAATATGGACAAAAGCTAACATAAATAGTTGCTCTGAAATAAATTTTATAAAATTTATGGGAATGACTATCAGCATTAAGGACATTTATTCAATGCTTAGACATCGGCAGAGGAGCCTGCCAAAATATATGGTTCATTGAGTCCCCTCACAGAATTGAAATGTTACATCAATTACTTAGGTGGTCAGAAGTGAGTAGTGCTCACTATCTACTACTTTTTCTACATGGTGTTTACTTCAGGGGGCACTTGGGTGACAGCAGAGAGCTGGAGGGAACGAAACTGGGAGCAATGATGTGACTTCCCTTGGGCTTATCTACATAGCATGGACACAATTCTGAAGCTACACCTAGTTTTTTTGTTTTGTTTTTGTTTTAAGGAGACTCCACACCCAGCATGGAGCCCAACACAGGGCTTGAACTCACGACCCTCCAATCAAGACCTGAGCTGAGATCAAGAGTTGGATGCTTAACCAACTGAGCCACCCAGGCACCCACTACTCCTAGTTTTTTTTTTTTAGAATACCATGTCTAAGTGATGGTAGGACAAGTCATCAAAATTTGCTCAAAATATTCAGAACAGAAATGTCAATGCAGAGACACCTGGGTGGCTCAGTCGTTAAGTGTCTGCCTTTGGCTCAGGTCGTGATCTCAGGGTCCTGGGATCGAACCCCGCATTGGGCTCCCTGTTCAGCAGGGAGCCTGCTTCTCCCTCTCCCTCTCCCCCTGCTTGTGTTCCCTCTCTCGTTGTGTCTCTCTGTCAAATAAATAAATAAATAAAATCTCAAAAAAAAAAAGAAATGTCAATGCATACAAACCATGTTCAAGTTCTTAGTGTCAAATCCACAAATGATGAATAAGGCATTGCTGCAGAGGAGATCCACTGTCTCACGGGAACACACCTCAGTAGCAAGAAATTGATCAAAAAAGTGGTGTGGGTAGAATATTTTGTCACCAAAGATAAGCTGAAAAATAAAAGCATCAGTAGAGGTTTGTAAAAATTAAGCAGCAGAGAAGACTCATTAATTTGTCTAGTTTACTGGTAGAGGTGTGAAATGGCTGATGAGATTTTCATATTTCTTTATGTTGTTTCAGGAATTTCATATACTTTTTCTCATTTAATTCCCACAATAAAGTTGGGGAATGGACAGGGCAGATGACCAACCTTGAATATTTACTGTTCTGTTGAGAAACGTAGTGGCTGCTGAGAAGAAGTATAAGACACAAAGAGTTACAGTCTAGTTGGGCTAATAAGTGTTATGAAATAAAATCATGAAACAACGTGGCAGGATGTCATAACCAAGTGTCAAGATGTGTTATTTCAGCAATAAATCATGAAAAGATCAGGAGCCAAAATGGTGGCTCAGCCACATTTTCAGCAAAGACTTTGGAAGGATTTGCCTCAACTCTTCTTGAGGAAAAGACATTTGGTTATCCCCATATTATACATGAGGAAACGGGAGGCTAAGAAATAGTTGGGATCTTGTGCTAACTAGATCTGACTATAAAGGTCATAAATTCTACAAAGCTAGCATCCTGACCCAAACCTCAAGCCTCTGACTTAAGGTCTAACATTTATTATTATTATTTTTAAACCAACTATCTACACTGCCTATCAGAAAATCTGAGCACAGGAAGGAAAGAAACACCTGCATTAATGCAGCCAGTCATGATACTCAAGTTCATCCCAAATTTTCACGTTTTGAACAAAAGCTTTACAAATGTAGTTTGTAGATAAAGTCTCAGGCTTTCGACATACAAGTTAGTTCAGAGTGAAAAGAAATGAATAGTACAAAACCACAGAAGGAAATAGCATCATTATGTTCTGGGGCCTGCAGTAAAACTGTTTTCCTGAAGGAAGTTGTGTCAGTGTCTGTGTGCGTTGGTTTCGGTAAGTGGGAGATGTAGGTGATTAAGTGTTGGAAAAACAAAGATCTTTAATTCCCTCTGATGTGTGCCTACTATACAAGACACTTAATATTTACGGGTTATTGCAATCCACACTCCTGCCCTCTGGAACCCCATTTAAAGGGGAAGCTCTTAAGAAAAGTTTTGGAAAGCCAAGGGCATTTGATGAAGGGTCTCAAGGTGCTTGCCTCAAGGAGTGTTCTTTCTCTTTTTCCTTCTCCTTTGCTTTTTCTACCCTTCCCCTTTCTGGTTTCCTTGGTGCAGGTGATTTAGGCTTCTTCTTTGACTGGTTTTGTTTTTATTTCTCCTTCCCTGAATCATGGTTTTCATACAGCTATGAAGGAAACGAAACGTTTGTGAAGGGGACCAACACTCCCAGTATTGTTAACCTATATAAAGCAACTGAGAATGCAGAAATAAAGGGGGATCTCAGCGGCTGTAATGGGGATTCAACCATGGTCAGCGCTAGTCAAGAACTAAAGCACGCATGTGCACATTTCCACTCTTGGCCAGAAACATGGTTGTCCACGTGGTGTTTCTCTTCTCTTTCCCTCACTCTGAGACCAAGGACAATTTGATATCTCAGATTCAGTTAAAGAGAATCGCATACCTTGAAGAGGAATGAAGGAACACGCATGAGTTTGTTTAGCAGGGTTTTGGCGTACTTCACAGTGGCAACTGGAGCTAATGCAGAGAAGGTTTTGATTCTTTTAGCCAGCTTGGGATTGGTAGAAAAGGCGATGAAACCTGAAACAGAATGACAAGGAACCAGTGAAGAAGGGGTATGTGTGTGTGTGTGTGTGTGTGTGTGTGTGTGTGTTTTACAAGTGGACATTATTTTGGATTTACTCAGAGTGCCATTTACTAAGAGAGAGAAACTTGTTCAGAGTGATCAAATTTTAGTATATTTGTTTTATTTTCATAGATTCTCTCTAGGAACATGCATGAGGCTAGAACTTGTAAAAAGTTAAAATAAATTCTTTCATCTGACTTTAGAAAACAGGGCAACTTGCAATTCGCATGGGGTGATAAAGAGTTATTTATACAAATATAGGATTTGATGAGTTCAAATTCATGTCATCACAATGAGATAATTAGCATTTAATATGAGTAGGGTATGTAAGTGGGAAGATTGAAAAAGTTTTAAATCTGACCAAACAAGATTTGAATCCTGGCTATGTGGTTTACTAGTTTTGTGACCTTGGACAAATCACTTAAGCACTACGAGCCTCATTTTCCTTATCCGAAATATGGGGCTAATAATAGTGAGTGCTTCAGTAGGTTTTTTTAGGAACCAAGTGAGGCGAGTTATAGAAGGTATTTTATCAGGACACTAGTCACATTGTAAGTGCTGGACAAGTGACTAGACACAATAATTCAAACATCTACACACGGTAAATATACTCAACTCTTGACTGTAATTGATTGCTCTTATGAACGGTAGCGTATTAGCAGATTGGGATGTGATCAAAGAGTTATTAAGCTAAAGTCTATACAGTCAAACTACATAGGATAATCTCTCCCAACGGTTTATAATGGCATATTGATTAGACACAAGAATGACCTGAAAAAAATAAAAAAGACTTTCAAATGTAAACACCTACCTCACCTACCTCAGCCTAATTCTGCTTAAGGAAGAATGGTGTTCTTGGTTGCCTAATCCTGCAGATTACAGGAAGCCTATCACCCAGAAAAAGCAAGAATCACACTTGAAGAGTTGGTTTGGGTGTCTATAGGTCCCCTCACTGTCAGGACAGGTGACTTCCCCGAGTACATTTGCTTGCTCAGAATAAACAATCCTATTTGAGACACAGTCCTAACAAGGATACTTATCTGACTTTCCAGTACACAGAAGATTAAAAGATGCAAATTCAAAGCAGAAACACCTCCCAGAAATCTGAGTGTGGTAACAGCAAGGACAAGGTATCCATTAGTGACAAAGAAGAATAGAATGTTCAAAATTCAAATGACTCCAAAGAGCGGTAGTTTGGTGTCATTTAGTGTCAGTTCTACTCATCTCAATAAATCCTAGGAAATTGTTGCATTGCATCTCAAGGCAATAATTTTATAACCTTAGATCATTGAGGAAAGGTTAAACTCTGTTCAATGGGTGTTCTTTAAAAATGCAGCAGTGTGTCATAAGTTAAGGCAGACTTCCCTCCAAAATAATGAAATTTTTGTATGGTTTTGGAAACTGAAGGAGTCAATTTTAGTAATCTAGAACATCTCCCCGTTTTTAACAAAGGATTTTGAGGGGTGCCTGAGTGGCTCGTTTGGTTGAGTGTCCGACTCTTGATTTCGGCTCAGGTCATAGATCTCAGGGTTGTGAGATCGAGCCCCACGTCAGGCTCCATGCTCAGTGGGAAGTCTGCTTGGGATTCTCCCTCTCCTTCTGCCCGTCTCCCCATGCAAACGTGCGCATGCTCTCTCTCTCTCTCTAAAATAAATAAATAAAGAAATCTTTTTTAAAAAAAGGATTTGAGTCGATTGCTGACCACATGTGATTGATGCTTTGCTGCACTGTCCAGATTCTTCTTCATGTCTGAGGCATTTATTCAACCCTAGAGGCAGGGAAGTTTGTGACTCCTCTCTAATTTTACTTTTGCTCAAGAGAATCCAAGGTTCTCAATGAATTCAAGGGAATCCCCTCCCAGGGCAGTCTGCATTGAATGGCTGGTCAGCAAGTGGGTCACCTAGTCCCACTCAAAGACTCTGAAGAGCCATCTCATACAGAGTTTGCGGAGACCTTTTTGGGACCGTGTCATGTCCCAGCTTCTCCCTCTGCCTAGTCCTGCTTTTCTGCCCTTTACCCTAGCAGTGTTTACTTATAAAACACCCTGAATACTAATCCTCATCTCCTTGAGAACATGACCTATGATGTAATGACAAAGGACACTGGGAAGCTCTTTGTCACTGACATTTTTCTCTAAAATTTTATAGGAGAGTGGTGCCTGGGTGGCTCAGTTGGTTAAGCATCTGCCTTCGGCTCAGGTCATGATCCCAGGGTCCTGGGATTGAGCCCCATGTGAGGCTCCCTGCTCAGTGGAGAATCTGCTTCTCCCTCTGCCCACTCATGTTCACTCGCTCTCAAATAAATAAACTCTTTAAAATTCTATAGGTGAGATCCATGTGCCCGCCACCAACTTCATCCACTTCCCTGCATAGATGTCTATATATGGACGCTCTGATTGCTTAGCTTCATGGCAGGGACTCAGGTCATCAGCTGAGAGTAGGGACGAGTGTAAAAACACATCGTTATTCCTCCCCTGTGACCCCACCTTCCCCTTCTGCTTCCACCCTTTTCCTTCCATTTATAGCTTTCTCTTGTCTGCTCTTGAACTCACCGGATTATGCTTTCATCCCAACCACTCCTCTGAGGTTGCTTTTAGGAAGGTTCCCTACACCTGTCTGGCTGCCAAATCCAATGGTCCCTTCTTAGACTTCGGTTCACATGATTCATCGGTAGCCTCTTCCACAGTTGACCACCTTCCCCTTCTTAAAACACGTTCTCCCCTTGACTTCCAGAACACCAGGGACTCCTGGCTCCATCATAGCGCTGTCACCATGACTCCTCAGCTCCTTTGTCTGGTTCTTCCTCATCTTCTAAATTAAGAGCAGCCCAGGGCTTAGTCCTCGGGCTCCTCCTCTTTTCTGAACTCACTCCATTGGTTATTGCGTCCTGTCTCACGTACATTTTGTGTTTTCAGGCCAGTCCTCTCCCCTGAACTCCAGATTTGTATCATTACTCAACGGCTTGGCCTTCCACTTAGATCTCCAACAGGTATCCGACACCCAACAGCGAGAAAACAGAGCCCCTGTGCCCCTGGACCATATCAGCCCTTCTCACAGCCGTCCCCCTCGTGGGTTGGGCATCTCCATTGCTCTAGGTGCTCAGGCCACAAATCTTGTGTCACCCCTGACTCCTCTCTTTCCCTTACACCCTGTATCCAATGGGGAGGCAAGTCCTGAAGGTTCCACCTCCAGAACACATTTAGAACCTAACCGTGCACCGCAGCTACCCACCCGCATCCAGGTCACAATCATGCCTCGAATGGGTTACTCTAAGAGTCCTCTCCCTAGGTCCTCTACCCAGTTCTTTCTCCCCATTGGCAACTGGGGGGATCCTCTTAACAGGACCTTCTAACTTCTAATCCTGTTGAGGATCCTGAGGTCGGATCCTGGTACTCCTCTTTTCGAAACTCTACTCTGGTTTCCCTTTTTACTCAGAGTAAGAGCTGCAATCCCCATAACAGCCAAAAAGCCCTGAATAGCCCTCCTTCCTTAGACCACACCCCCATCTCGTCTCTTGCTTTCTGTCTGATTCAGCCATACAACGAATCACCTCATCACCTTTCCTTGCACCGGCTGCAACCTCAGACAGTTTGCACTTGCTGTTCCCTCTTCCCAGAACATCAGTCTTTCAGGTGTACACATGGCTCACCCCCACCGCCCACCTCCTTCATGCCTTTACTCAGAGAACTGGTGGTATTCTCTATCTGAACTCGCTGTGTCCCCTCTGATGCTCCCTAATAGGCTTTCCTGATTTATTTGCTTCCCAAGCATTACCATTATCTAACCTACTCTATATTTTACTTTTTAATCCTCGTTACTTTCTCTGCCTCCCCACTAGAGTATCTGTAGCACAAGGAGGGAAATTTTCATCTCCTTTATTTATTGCTATATTCTTAGGACACATTGCAGGTGCTCCATAAATGTGGTTGAATAGATGGAAGACATTCAGTCCAGAGGCCAGGAGGTGCAGTATCTCAAAGCATGGGCTTGGGAGTCCTGATACCAGCCTGAGCTGGTATCTGAGCTACCCTATTTGCCCTACCTGTGTTACCTTGCACAAATTATCTACCCTCATGTTTTGTTTCCCCATATATACAATAGGAATAGTAATTGTCCCTATATCACTGGATTGTTGCAGCCATTCCTTTATATGATGAATGGAAAGCAATTAGCAAGATGACCAACATGCCTGGGTCTATACAAACAAAACCACCTGCTTCAGCTGCTTTTACCTACCAATGGTGGTACCCTGGGAATGGCCAACATAGTGTAGCTTATCCTGTCCAGTTTTCTTTAAAATTAAGTCAATCGTGGCTGGAAGGTCGTATTTAGCCATCTCATCAAAGCTGCAAGAAAAACAAAGACAAAATAAAACTGAATACATTTCCTTGCCATAATTTCTAAAAGTCAAGCGTATTTATAGCTAAACCTCTCTTTGAGAAAGAGAAAACTGGATTCTCTAAGCATTGCTGCTTATAGACCATTAGTTAGTGTCAGGTGCTTTTGGGGGGGTGGCTTTTTATCAAGAGCTGACATCATTTCTGAAGCAGAACATTACAGCTGCAACTTAATCCAAACAAGAGAGCATCTGTAGGTGGGGATTCTTTTTATCCCTAAAAATGAATGTCAGACTTAATCATCATTTGTATGCAGTGTTCCGGTGCCAATTGAGATGAGTCATATCGCCCTCTCTTTTACTCCCCAGAGATCAGCCAGAATAATCTTTTGAAAATGAAAATGGGATTCTGCCACTGCCTTGCTGGAAACTGTTCAGTGGCTTCTCCTTGTGTGAAGGGTGAGCTCTGAGGCCCTCGGCATGGCCCGCAGAGCCCACCTGACCTATCTCTCTTTCCACCACTCCAGAGACATGGGCTTCCTTTCAGGTCTTGGAACACTCAGAGCCCTTCTGTACCTCAGCAGCATCACCGAAATCTCTTCTTTTCCCCCTTCCATCAGCACTTTCCAGGAATAGGGCACAAGAGGGGCAGAGATAGGAAAACTTTGAAAAGCTTTCCACAGTGTCCGAATTTCACGCCCCCTCCCCCACCTCACTTTCGATGGTGACTTGGGTTCTTGAACCCCCAACTGAATTTGGACATCCTCACAAATCTCCACGGATGTTCCTTTTGGAATCTGCTGCGGGCAGTGAATTTCCATACTTCGGTTATTTCTCTCATTCCATTTGGAAAAGCATATTCAGGAAATCGGGCTAATCGTGCATACCGAGATCATAGAAAATGTGAAGGAAAAGCTACCCTTGGACTGAGGTGTATGGAAGAATCCAAGAAGGTATTAGAATAAAAATGACTTGCTTTTTTCCTACTGAGAGTGTAATATATTAAAATGGGACTGGACTGGAAAATGCACGCATAAATACCCATGCTTTTTAGACTCAATGTTTATTTTTCATTGTCCATCTTTCCTGTCCCCTTTCTTTACCTGAAAGCCCAGAATTCAACTGAGTCTGGGGAGAAGTATAGGTTTCTCCTGGCCCAGGTGTTTCCCCTGCTGTTGCCCAGCCACACATCATAACCTGCGTCTGCCAGAATGAAGGCCAGGCTGTTGTTGGGCAGGTTGGAGATCCAGTTTGTGGCTGATGCGAGCAAACCGTGCTGCAAAAATGCAACAGGTCTCCGGCCTGAGGGAGAAAATCATATCCAAGCTTTATACACTCATTCCTCATTCTCAGATAAACACGAAGACAGAAATAGGCTTTCAGACGACTAGAATTAAATACGTTTGCTTGATTGAGTTGAATATTTGAATATATTATCTTAATCATGGTGGTGGTTTCTCAAGTGACACAATGTATCAGATTGTGCATTTTAAACATGTGCAGTTTATTGTAGGCCAATTATACCTCAGAAAGCTATTGAGAAACTTATATTCTAAGGAAGTGCAGCGTGATGTTAATTTAAGTGGATTGTGAGTGTTAAAGTGATACGTGATGTTGCTTAATTTTATTCTTTTGTACTTCACAATTTTCCCGTGATGAAAACAAGATAAATTTTTATTTAAGTGACATTTATCTGTTTGGGAAATGAGCCTCAAATCGCCTCCCCATCCTCCTTACTATAATACACATCCTGGCTAACGCTTCCTGGTCCTCCAGGACTCAGCTTAGTTATTACTTCTAGAGCACGTTTTCCTTGACCTCCACTAGCTGAGTTAGGCACCTTTGCCAGAACTTCCAGTTCAATATCCTCTGGAGAGTTCTAGCTTTGCACTTATCACATATTATTATAACCCTCTGTTCATGCATCTCATTGACTTGATGGTAAACTCTTTGAAGACTGGAGATAAGGTTTTGTCATTGCTGATTTCCAGAATGAGCAAGACTCATTAAGTCCTTAGGGAGAAATGAAAGGAGGAAGGGAGGGAGGAAAGAAACAAGGATGGAATGAAGGGAAGAAAAGAGAGAGGGAGAGAGGAAGGGAGAGAGGATCATACCTATATTCTCTGAATTTTTCTTCCCATAAGGAATTCTGTTGATCCCGAGTATATAACCATCTTCAGTCACGACATCATACTCTTCACTTGGGTATCCCCAATAGGCGATCATCTGACTCTGACGAGGAAAAACACAGCTTTTAGTTTTAGCTGAGTTTTTAAATGCATCTAGTAAGTAGATGCTGTTAGTTATTCTTGATCTGTCATGTAAAAGCTTCAACTGGCCACAATTCTAAGTCATGGCACTTGCTCTTGGTTCCATAGGATCCCCACCCCCAACCCTGGTAACTTACAATATTCATAGTCACTTCAGGGCTTATAGGATGTAATTTTCCAAAGTAACCATGTGTAGTTCCAAGTGCAGATATCAAACTTGCCACTGTTAATAGCAACCACATTTTTGTCTTACCTGAAAAAGAAGAGTAACCAGTGCCATGATTAGCCCATTATACTTTCATAATACTCGTATTTTTGTGCTAATTTTACCTTCATGCAAAGTAGAGAAAGGCTTAGGTTTGATTATATTCTGTTGGGCAATAAACTGGGACATGTGGATGTCAGCATAAGTGTTTTAATGCTTCGCATGTTTTCACTCTACTTGATTCCACAAATGTGTCTATAACCACAGATGTGTCTAAAACCATCTATATGTACGGGGATGTTCACTACAGCATTGTTTATAATAGGAAAGATTGGGAATGACTTAAGTGCCTATCAGCAGAGAACATATCTTATAAATTATTGTGTAAACCATACAACAGAATGTCATGCATATTGCTTAAAAAAAAAGTGAGACACAAATCAAAACTGCAATGAAATACCACCTCACACCTGTGCATGGTTATTACCAAAAGACAAGAAACAACAAGTGCAACAAGTGTTGGCAAGGATGTGGAGAAAAGGGAACCCTTGGGCACTCACTATTGGTGGGAATGTAAGTTGGTGCAAAAACAGTACGGAGGTTCCTCAGAAAAATTATAAATAGAACTATCATATAATTCAACAATTCCACTTCTGAATATTTAGCCAAAGAAAACAAATACCACTAACTCAGAAAGATATCTGCACCCCCATGTTCACTGGAGCATTATTTACGATAGCCAAGACATGGAAGCAATGTAAGTGTCCATGGATAGATAAATCGATAAAGAAAATGTCACACAAACACACACACACACACACACACACACTGAAATACAACTCAGCCTTTAAAAAGAAGGAAATCTTGCCATATAGGACAACATGGATGGACCTCAAGGGCATCATGCTAAGTGAAATAAGTCAAGGAAAGACAAATACTGTATGATCTCATTTATATGTGGCATCTAAAACAAACAAACAAGCAAAAACACCAAAACAAAAAGCAAAAAAACTGAACTCCTGGATACAGAGAACAGATGGGTGGTTACCAGAGGCAGGGAGGTGGAGGAGGAATGAAATGGAAGAAGCAGATTAAAAAGTACAAACTCCCAGCTATAAAATAAATAAATCAGGGGGATATAATGTATAGCATGGAGACTATAGGCGATAATAATATTGTTTGTATCTTTTAAAGTTGCTAAGAGAGTAGATCTTAAAGGTTTCCATCATAAGAAAAAATAATTCTGTAACTATGTGTGGTGATGGATGTTAACTAGACCTATTGTGGTGATCATTTCACAGTATATGCAAATCATTAATGTTGTACACTTAAAACTAATATAAATGTTATATATCAATTGTATTTAAATTAAAAAATAAAAAGAAGAGAATACTATAACACTCTCTCCCCAAAGAGAAAAAAGTGAGATAGGTATGTATGTATTTATATGAAAAGTTATCTTAGGTGGATTGTAAAAACAAGGCACAGAATATCGTTCCTTTGGTGTATGTAGTATAGTGCATGTAGTACCATTTATAAAATTAAAAAGGTCTCATCTGAAAAGTAAAATTAGAACAACAAAATTTTTAGGCATCTTGTAGTTATAAAGCAATACTGCCCAGTGACAAAATGTGCTTGCTATAAAGTGAATGAATGATTTTTTTTACTCTGAGCTACCTGGAAAAACTGAGTTGCCCAATTTAAAATTTACCAGACTTGCTTGTCAACATGTGATGCTTGGGGCTGCTGGTCAGCATTTTCTCTTGGACAATAAAGAATCCCCCTTACACTCAAACTTATTAGAACTAAATTGATGTTCTTTTCCATTTTTCCGCTTTTATTGAAATTACAATTTATAAACCTTTTCCAAAGGACCACTTTTATAGCCCTTTACTTTTCTGATCTTGTGATGGCAATTATCACTTATTTCTCAGCATAGACAAACTATTTGACATTAGACCCAGAACATCTAAACCCCCCTCTATGTTGTAATCACCAACTACATGTTTGAGAAGCTTCAGACATTAAGCTGGTGAAAAAGCCTCAAGGGAGAAGTGATATTTGTCCTCAAATATTTGAAGAGATGCCATATGGCGGACAGTCTTAAATCAATTCATGTTTAGTGAGTCAGAAATAAGTCATTCAATAAATATTTGTTAAGAAACTACTAAGTGCTGGAACACCTGGGAAGCTCAGTCAGTTAAGCATCTGCCTTCAGCTCAGGTCATGATCTCGGGGTCCTGGGATCGAGTCCCACGTCGGGTTCCCTGCTCAGCGGGGAGTCTGCTTCTCCTTCTCCCTCTGCCTCTCCCACCCACTCATGCTCTCTCTCTCCTCTCTCTCTCAAATAAACAAATAAATAATCTAAAAAAAAAAAAACTACTGAGTACTAGGAGCAATATATGGAGGTCACACATGGAAAGATTTTAATTCTGTATCGTGAAGAGCTTTGTAAGATTCGGATCATTGGACTCAAGTGGGATTCTTTGGAAAGTAGTGATTTCTCAGTTGCTGATGTTTCAACACAGGCAGTATAACCAGTTGTCATAATTCATGTAGAACACTTAGCATACTTTGCAACTTACAGGAAAGCCAGACTGAAGCTCTCCAGACCTCAATCTGACACTCTGCTCTAAGAGTTTGGCCACTTATTTAGTGTAGGATTAGATATAATAGTGTCCCTTACAAATGGATTTTTAACCATGTCTTTACAAAGATATTTTAGAAAGTACATAAAGACCAACGAGCAGTGTTTTTTTTTGTTTTGTTTTGTTTTTTAAAGATTTTATTTGAGAGAGAGAGAATGAGAGAGAGAGAGCACGAGAGGGAAGAGGGTCAGAGGGAGAAGCAGACTCCCCACTGAGTGGGGAGCCCGATGTGGGACTCGATCCCAGGACTCCAGGATCATGACCTGAGCTGAAGGCAGTCGCCCAACCAACTGAGCCACCCAGGCGCCCGAGCAGTGTTTTAACATTCAAGCCAGAAGGGTTTGACCACATATTTCAAGGAGCCATAATTTTATACCATCTATTGCCTCATTAAGTAATTTGGCATTGTAAAGTGAGGACACTTAACCTATGGTTTAAGTTATAGGATGTCCCAACAACCCAGTCCTAAACATAGGCTCAAAGATGTTCAGGGGCAGGTTAAGTGTGCTCAAAATGCCCATGGACCAGCTCTAAGATGATACCAGTAACTAACATTTGCAGAGGGCTCACTGTGTACTGGGGAGTGTGTCCAGCATGTTGAGTGTGGAAGTTAGTTGCCTTTGCTGAGATGGTTTCCTGTTCGAGAAAATACAGCAAGTAATGGTGCATGTCCCAAAGTTATTATCCAAAACCCATGAAGTTAATGAAAGTTCTTAACAACATGATAGGCATGTCATAAACACTGAATAAATACAGTTATTATTACTGTCATCCCATTTGATTCTCATGATAAGCCTTCGAAGTAGACAACATTTCAGTCCCCATTTTATGGATAAACAAGGCAAGGCTAAAAAAAAAGGGCTTCCCCAATAGGTAGGTTGAAAGCAATTGACCCCATGTTTGAGACTAGGTGGTCTGTTTCCAATGATTATGTTCTCCACTATAACGCTTCTTTAGGATGACCTAAGGCCAATGCCTATAAGGAACTGCTTGGGGCATCCGCCAGGGGTTTATATAATTTGGTCCAAAGTTGTTTGGAGGGGTGTATGATTTGAAGAAATTCATTAGTAGCTTCTGAAGTTTAGCAACTTTTAATAAAGGTTGATTCAATAGCACCTGGATAAAAGTAAATTATTTAATAGAGTATAGTAATACAGCTAACCCATATGATGCTAGAGGACTGATTTTTGCTTCTCAAAAGGAAGGATAAGAGACAGAAGTGTTCACATTAGGCACTCGCTATAAAAATGCTGGAAGTAATAAGCAAATCTATCATCTAGTAATTAATAATTTCACATATAAATAAAAAAAATCAAAGAAAAAATAAATAAGATCTTAGAAGAATGAGCCCTAACTTAAATAGACACATTTATAAAGAGGAATATGCAACAAATACGAAAGCTTTTAAAAAATGCAAGAGTTGCGTTATAGGAAAAAATGAGTTCAATAATTCAAATATGAATTTTGCCCAGCAGAAGTTATACTCACGGTCTCCTCAGAAACAAGGTTATATTTCTCTTGATGTTTAGTATCTTGGTTAACGTTGCATTTGCTTCTTATATACAAAACTTCCAATAATGGCCAGAATTACTCAGCCACTGATAACATTCCATAAATCTTTATATCTGGACATCATCTAATTATCAGAGGACAAACCTAAAAATCAAATACTGCATTGATTTTCACATAGTATTGAGATCACACCTTTAATATCTAACAACCACAAATATTGGCCAAAGGAGTTATGCCTAGAAGTGATTTAGGAAACATTAAAAATGATTCTTGATAGCTTAAACATATAGAAAATGTTGAGCCAAAGGTATAAGACAAGGGATTATGTAGTGTAGCTCAGATAAAGGGGCCTAAGATGACAAAAGGCCTCCTCTTGTTCTTTAAAAAGTACAGCACATAAACTATTCTGAATGGGTACTTACATAACCTCCTGCAAATGAATGTAATCAGCAAGGATTAGTGTTATATTATGGTCTTTGATCAGGGTCTCTAACTCAGCAGATAATGATCTAACTCATTATCTGAGAAAACCCCAGCCACTGCCCTTTAAAAACATATGGGTGGTGTCATTTTCTACATATAACATCACAAGCTGGAGTTTAAACCATGTAATTGTGTTAATAAATGACTTGTGCATTAAAAAATTAATATTTAAAAATATAGTTGATCCTTTACAACCAACATGAGCACCCGTAGCTTATAGTGAGAGAAAAAGTGTCCTGTTTTGACTTCTTTTTTTTTTAAAGATTTTATTTATTTGACAGAGAGAGACACAGTGAGAGAGGGAACACAAGCGGGGGAGCGGGAGAGGGAGAAGCGGGCTTCCCGCGGAGCAGGGAGCCCGATGCGGGGCTTGATCCCAGGACCCTGGGATCATGACCTGAGCCGAAGGCAGACGCCCAACGACTGAGCCACCCAGGCGCCCCCTGTTTTGACTTCTTAAAATAGTTTGCAATTTATTTTTAGGAATCATCATTTTTTTAGTAGCACTTAAAGTGCCAGGAGAAATAGTGAAGAAATAATTATTGCTGGAAAGAACACAATGGCAGGCTATAACCCATCAACTTTTCGCCAAGTACCATAATGCAATTGACTAGATTTGCTTGGTTTGAACAAACTAGGAAAAAGTTAGGGTATATTAAGTACCACATGCATCTGCGTATATTTATGTTCCTAACACCTCAGCTTCACTCAACTCTGGTTGATTGTCATTGACAATAGGAGATTTTTGAAAAGAGGAGAGAGTGGTACATTCTCATAACTGAAGTGGAACAGGAAGGTTTTGCTCGCTATCCTAATGCAATCTGAATTTACTTCCCCAGCAGGTGGGAAACTGCTTGACCATGTTTTTCACGTCATTGTTTGTATACATTTAAACAAGAGAATGCAGGATGTGTTCCCTTGGCCTTTTACTGTAGTTGAAAAGGATTTGGGGTCCGAGTCTGGGCATAAAGGAACACTAGGAGTCTTTTAAAGAGATCCGTGATTCTTGCCATGACAATGCAGCCAATTAGCCAAACACATTCACTCTTGCTCTTTATAAGGACCTTAAATTCTGATTTGTTAGGGGTCATTGTGGTAGTCGTATAAACTAGGAAAGAAGAGTTAGGTTCCAGTATGCAGCGTATGCTAAGGGCCATGCAGAAACATGTTGCCTTCTGTGCTGTATCAGCCCCCCCTAACCTCCCTCACCCTGCTCACTGTCCTTTTTCCCTTGCAACTGTCCTTATGTACATACAGGTCTCAGCTCAGCCTGTATTTCCCTGACACCGTTTATCATCTCTCCATGTTGGGCTTGGTACTATTATATGCATTACAATGGAGACCTATGGTCATCCCTATTATAGGACTTACTGATAGATGGGCTCTTTGTTAGATCTCTTCCCTTGCACACAACACACACATGTAAACTCCTTAACTGTAGGGGCTCCATCTTGTTTAATCAATATTCTATCCCCAGTGCCTACCCCTTGTCTGGAACAAAGTACAGGATCCATAGATATTTGATGAAAAAAAAATGATTAAAGAAAGAAAAAGAATTGCCAAATCATCTATACACTTGCATAAACATACCAAATACCCTTTGTAATAGTAAACCACCTGATGGATATAAAAAAATCTGATTAATTTAATGTAAATCAAATGAAAAGAGGGTATTAAAAATACATGAGAAAAATATATGTATTAAATTATTACTATCTCTTATTTTTTATGCTCATAAGAAATTTTACCAATGATAACAGAAAGCCATTTATAAGCTGCTGAAAGAAAAGTCGTAATTTAAGAGTTGTACAAATTGTTCCGTGGAAACCACCCTGACCCCATGGTCTTTGGGGTAGTCATTATCAGAATCCATTGATGCAATTAATGTTTGAGTCTTTATTTTATTTTATTTTATTTATTTATTTATTCATGAGAGACAGAGGAGGAGAGAGAGAGAGAGAGAGAGAGAAGCAGAGGGAGAAGCAGGCTCCCAAGGAGCAGGGAGCCCGATGCGGGACTCGATCCCAGGACCCTGGGATCATGACCTGAGCCGAAGGCAGACGCTTAACCATCTGAGCCACCCAGGCGCCCCAAAGTTTGAGTCTTTAATTAGAACAAATGAAAGCACGAATCTGGTGTGGAAAGTGTCTTTGAATAAGACTGTAATGTTGAGAGAAGAGGTCAAGGGCAGGAGGAATGGTTGTACCTATATAACCCTATGTTGGGTGATTCAAGGCAAAACACTTATTCACTGGGCCTTAGTTTGTATAATAAACTCTATGACAATACCAATACCCACCCAACTACCTGGTAGGTTTCTCACATAAATGTCCTGATTTCCTTTTGTTGCTTGTTATCTTTTCTTCAAGATTCGGGATTCACTTCAAATGTCACCTCCATGGTGACATCTGAATCTCCCTGTAGAGTTAGTGGTTTTATCTCCTCATTGTTCTAGGTCCTTATTGGTCCCCCTGCACTGGCACTTCCCATATTTTAAATATAAGCTGTTTTCCTGTCCAGATGGTGTCTGCTGAGTGATATAACAGATAAACAGATGAATGAATGCATGGTAGAGATCACAGGAAATAATATGAAAGCGAATGCTTTGGAAAACTTAAAGAGCTAGAGAAGCAAATATAGGATAGTGTTTTCAGTAGTGTTTTGTGTTAGCTTTACTAGAGAACCATAAGATCCCTAAGGTGACACCAGCCTGCAGATGCTGTCCCAAAAATAATGTGGGAATTTCTCATGTTTGTTTCTGGACAGAGGGAAGAATAGCACATGTGTAAACACATGGCTTTAGGGTCAAATTCTTCCACAGTCACCTGTTGTCTCGATGGATTTACATCAGTTTCAGCCTCTCACTTCTCTCATTTATAAAATCAGGATGACAGTGGCCTACCACTCAGATGGCTTTTATAAAAATTAGATAAGTTATACACTCTACATAGCATCGAGCATGACATAGATACTTAAGAAACGATCTTTTGAATTTTTCATAATGAACAATTTGACCAATTGCTGAAGGGCTCATTCCTCAGTTATTCTTTTGAGTGCTTATTATATGCTTGAAACTCTCAGAAGCTGGGAAGAAGATCTTACAAATGGTGAGCCAGGTTCATGCTCTCTAGAATCTTTTATTTGGGGGCAGAGAGAGATGTTAAAGAAATGGATACAATTTTGGTGGCTTGTAAAAAGGGCTTGAAGAAGTAAAGTGCTCTGTGAAAGAGAACAGCCACAGTATTTAAAAAGGATAGGTTGGGAAGTTTTCTCTGAGGACAGAGCTGGGGCTGAGTGACAAGAAGGAGCCAGGCTTGTGAAGAGTCAGTGAAAAATCCTTCTGGGTGGAAGGTAAGAGCAAGTTCAAAGACCATGAAATGCACAAGGACTTGTTACATTGGAGGGACATCTAAGAGGCTGGTGTGGCAGGGATCTGATGAGCAAGGGTGAGAGACAGGATCCACTTATGTGGCTCATTTAGTCTGTGATAAGCAATTCTGATTTCATTTGAAGAGTTGAAGGGTTTTGAGTGGGGGGTGGGGAGGGCTTAACTTGTTATATGTTTTTCACAATCAGCCTAGAAACTGTGTAAAAAAAAAAATGGGCGGAAAAGGAGGTAAGAGTTGGAACAGGAACACCAGTAGGAAGCTTCTGCAATGTTCCATTGAGAGATAATAGAGTTTTTGATCAGAGTGGTAGTAGAGAAGGTAAGAAGAACTGATTCAAGACATACTCTGTTCTTCCAGAATTTGTTAACCCATTAGATTTGGCAAGGGTCAGGGTGAAGGTAAGAGAGGAAACAAGGGTGATCGAATGTTCTTGCACTGACCGTCTGGGGGGAAGATGGTGACAGCTGCGTAGACGAGGAGTGTAAGGAATGAACAGATGAGGGTTGAAGGTAGGATGCCAACGCATTCATTTTTTTTATATATTTGGCATGTTGATGATAATTATAAGCAGGCCATTTTCATATGAGACTGGAGTTCAAGAAATACCATATTGTAGCTACAATGTGGGCACAAATGTGGGTATACAAATGGCATCTACAGATGGGATCACCTAGAAGAGCGGCTCTCAATTTTGGTTACACACTGGAATCATCTGGGAAACTTTTAAGTACAGATGGCCAGGTTCCAGCCCCAATCGACTGAATCAGAAGCCTTAGGGTGCTAACTAAACCCTAGCATAAAAAAAAACCCAAAAAACAAAAAACAAACAAAAAAATCACTTCATGTTCGCTCTGATGCATTTGTGAGACCTGAAAACCACCGACCCAGGGAGAGAGTGTAGACAGAAGAGAAGGTGGTCCCAGATTGGGCTCGGAGGCATGGCCATACTTGGAGACCAGAGGTCCCTAGCAAAGGGGGTGGACAAAGAGCAGCCAGGTAGGCCTGGAAACAGATTTGGGCCCCTCGAGGAGATTGTTGTGAAAAAGTGTGGCTAACTGGTTTCAGGGTCACTAAGGGGTCAAGTATGGTGAGGACAGATAGTGTTCTTATACTGATTTTTTACTGAACCATGTACACATACGATAAAACATATACATCTCAGTTCCACATTTGATTACTTTGTGTACATGTGCATACTCGAG